TTTTTTTTTTTTTATTTAAAAATTTTTTTTTTTTTTTTTTTTTTTTTTTTTTTTAAATATAGCTGACTGTATAGCTCAGTGGGTAGACACCAGTCTACCACCCAGGAGACCGGGGTTCGAATCCGGGCTGGGGCGAGTTACAACGGTGCAATTGAGCTATGCAGTGTGGGTCCTTAGGCAAGACCCACACTGCATAGCTATATATATATATAGCTATGCAGTGTGTATATATATATATATATACATATACGTATATATATGTGTGGCATATGTATATACATATGCCACACATATATACATATGTGTGGCACCTATTTCACTGGCATCTTTTTTTTTCCTGAGGATGCTATTTTTAACTACAGTGCAGTATTACAGTATTTCCTTTACTGTGTAGCTTCTCCTTTTCCTGGATATGTTCCAGTGTCAGTGGTAGATCCAGGCTGTGTCTCTGTATCAGAAGCGCTCCCTGGTGCAGACTTGCACCAGGGAGCATCGAATGGGATCCAGAATACACGCCTGAGACGGTGAGGAAGAAGCTCCAACATGGCTTCCATCAAGGCTGCACCAGAGCGATGTCATTTTATCTCAGATCTACCACTTAACTCTCTGGAAAATATCCAGATGTACCTTCTCTAATTTTACCACTTCAATCTCGGAGAACTTCTGACATTTTTGTCACAAATGACAAAAAATTGCGTTAGAATTTTTCTAAACTTCCAAGACATTTCTGATCTTTTTTAAATTATTATTTCTGACTTTTTAATATCAGAAAACATCTTAGTTTTCATGTCACAAAGTTGTTGCCTTTAGAGTAAATTTGGAAAAATTAGAAATTGTGTTTTGCAGATTTATGACTTTATAACATTAAAGAATTTGCAAGTTGTTTTTTTTTCCTCATAAATATGTGAAATTGATCTCTAGATTTCAGAGTTTTTTGGCTGAAATATAATCCTCTGTGGCCAATTTTCCTTTCTTTTCATCTAGATTTGGCTCTCATACTCTGTTGTAGAGGTCAGTGTAAAGTTTCTCAATATTGAGGTAGACTACAATCATATTTATTAAATGTTCCAATAACGTAGTAAAAGATATTAATCAAGTGATCATAGAGGCCCAGGATTTATACTTAGGCTAAGTGACTGTAGATGCTTTGCATTTTTTTTTGTGGTATTTTTCTTCCACTGGCACCGAAAACATGAATAATCAAAGCCTCAACCGTGAAGCATGCACCTCCAATCTTTACATATTTCCTGGAAGATGTTAGGAAACCTTTTACAAGACCTTTTCAGGGAATCTTATTGTCTTGAGCTCCTTGCTAAAACAGTGATGCCAAGGTTGAACTTGTTTTATTTTGACTTTATGTGATATTTGTTGGTCAGTCATGCATCAGCACAGTTTAGAACCGCCTTTTGGTGCAGTTACAGCTGCAAAACTTATAATATTTTTACCCTCTTTTCTTTACACAACAGCTTGAGCTCATTCTGACTGGATGCAGAAAATTTGCAAACAACAACATTAACATCTTCTCCTGGATTTTCATTTCTGTTTTGCTCTGGATTTCGATTGGCTTTGATGAAAACCATTCTGTTGTGTCTAAGGTTGTTGTTCTGCTCGGCCACCACAAAAAGTCAAAATGGGAGGTAAGAAGGCCATGAAGCAAGGTTTTTAGGTTTTCACAAGTCAAAGAAAATGATGCGTGTATTTGTGTGTTCAGCCTCATTTACTCGGACACCCCAAAACACAATATCATGATGAACGAGGAACACAGCACACCGGTCAGAAATAAAGTTGAAGAAAGATTGAAGCATAGATTCTTAAACAAAATCCAAAGTTTTGATTACATTTTTCTGGCTGACCCACCCATCCATCGTCTGAAAATAGAAGGAGGATGGCATACCACGCTCCAGCTGGGCTAGCAGAGCATTAACCAGATATGGACTCAAGACATCTGAGGTAACTTGGGAGGAGATGCAGAGAGTCATATCATCACTTTCCTGTAAAAACGGCATAAGTTATTTATTTATTTTGCCAAAAACATCAACAAAACAACAACGCTTTTTTGGCAAAAAAAATGACTTAGGCCATTATTTTAGGAAAGTGCTGATATCTAGATCAGGAGAATCTGTCAACTACTTTTCACCCATCAAACAAGTAGCTGAATACCTGAAGCCATCTGTTAGTGTAGCGCTAAACAGCTATCATTAAAAGGGAAACAAAGTATCTCCATTTGAAATAGGTAAGTTTTTCTCCTGCATATTAACATTGTGCACCACCGTGCTTCTTTGTTTCAGTCCTTGTTGCTATGCAGCATTGACTCCTGTCTTCTAAGACCAAATTTTCCAATGAGAGACAAATCAGTTATCTTACATATCATACTGTAATTATGATGCCAACAGGTCATTTAACAAACCAATGACGGAATACAAACGTGTGCCACACTTTTAAGATTTCTAAGAATTTCTGAAAATGTTTGAAGACCATGTAGAACTTTTCTTCCAGCATCGTGTTCCTGTCACATTAAATGCCAATAAAATACATCAGAGTTTATGGTTTGTGACAAAATGTGGACAAATTTGAAGACATATAAATACTTTTGCATATAAAAGTAACTGCAGAAAATTATTTGTAGTTATTTATTAAGAACAGTTAAATATCTGTATTCAACATTAACATTGTGGTGCACCATTTGACTTTTAAACCACATACTGTAAAATAAACGCATTGTGCAATCAATGCAGGCCTGTAGGTGTTGTGGTGACAAATGGTGAAAGTGCACCATTTCGTGGCACAAGGTCACGTTAAGCATGCCCGCGCTGCAGGTTGGAGGCATATTGCTCTTTTTGTTGTCATGGCACAGGCAACTGGTGATCATCGGCGTTATATAAGGAGCGAGAAAAGGCCACATGCAGAGACAGTAAAAAGAAATGTGCGCAGGCATCCATCTTAGCTTCAAAATGGAAGCCTTGAATCCACCCCCACCAGCAGACATCAGCAGCCGCTGCGCCTGCCCGCCTCAACCCATCCGAGATAAACAGATAATGAACAGAAACATGCTGATTTATCTTCAGGGTTTTGTTTGAATGAATCAAACAGAATGATTGCAGAGGGGTTACGCTGAAGCAAAATGTACATTTTATTAGCGTTTTTGTTGGACTGCCTTTCATTTAAAAAGAAAAAAAGAAAAAAAAGAAAAGAAAAGAAACATGCCTCTGTCCTTTCTGTGTTTTCCTACCTTCTAATTAATCCTCTCTCCTATGAGATCCATGTGTTCCTTCTCGACGGATCGGCGCTTTCAGATTGAAAGAAGAAAAAAAATCTGCACACCATCGGCATCCACCAGCGGCGGCTCAAAACGGCTTCCGTCCCGGATGGTAGCCTACATAAACAGAGCCTGACGCGCTTCTCTCTCTCCCCCCAGCCGGTGGTCTCTCTGGTCGCCCCCCTTTGCCTCGCTCACTGGGGGCCCCTCCTTCGTCGATGGGAACACGGGCCCAGGATAGATGCGAAAAAGCGCCTCAGAGCGCGAGAGAAGATGTCTTCCATTAAGAAGAGATTACTTTGGTCGGTCGAGGCTGTTGCTCACAGCTCGGACGGATCTTCAGACAGAACAGAGAGACAACAGGTTCTGATCCCTAAACTGACACAAAACCTGAAAACGGGGAAGAAGAAGAAGAAGAAGAAGAAGAAGAAGAAGAAGAAGAAGAAGAGAGAGAGAGAGAGAGAGAGAGAGAGAGAGTGCGCGTGTGTGTGTGTGGGGGGGGAATAGATGAAATCCAAAAATAGATGGCAGATATTCTCTCTGTAAAGCTGCCAGAGAGAGAGAGAGAATCGTTGCTTGGATGCGGGCATCTGCAGTTATTCGGGTTGGATGTGGGAGGGGAAGCGACGGCCTCTGATTGGCTGCTGCCGGGATGCAGCTGCTGTTGATGCTGCTGCTGGTGTTCAGTGTTCACCCGCGCCGCTGCAGCCATTGGCCTGCCGCTGGCCGCCGGGGCCTATCGGGAGCTTCGCTGTCCGAGGTACTGAAACTGCGGCGGCTGCTGCTACGCCGAGGCGGGTGGGGGAGGCTGGAGGCGGGGGGCCAGCTGCTGACAGGTTTTTATGAATCAGACCCACGGAACACCGTGTGGGTGTCGAAACCCACCAGGATATCTATACAGCCTCATCCGGGGAATTGTATCGGCTTACTCCCTCATTTTCACCGTTCAAAACAGACATTACACTGGGTTTTAATGTAATGTCTGTATATATATATATATACATGTCTATATTTTTTCAGCTGAATTAGGACTATTTTGTTGAATCCAAAAATGATGTCCATTTTTTTCAATCAGGTCAGGTTTTTAGTCTAATTTGGTTTAGAGAAATCTGATCTGACTAAATTGATGACATTTTTGTGACTTTATCAGTTCATTTCTGTTAATATTTCTCATCCATAGAAAGGTTTTAGGAGAAAAAAATTGATTTCTAACATGGTGTATAAATTAAATGTTACAAACTTGGAAATTGAATAATAAACACTGATAAGTACATGTGAATTGAACATTACCTCCTTTCTGTCCTGATGGAATCTCTCCTCCTGCTCATCACTCACTGATCCAGATTCTCAGGAAACCAACCCAGATGTGAGAACAAGTCGTGCATTTTGATGCTCATGTTGCTCTGTAGTTCAGAAAGTTGACTTGATTTAACAAAACCAGTTTGATTTTTGGATTCAGCTGTTCAAAAGGACCCTACAGCAGTGGAAAAACCCCAAACAATCTTTTGACTGTTGACCAGGGTTTTTAATTTTTTTATTTTTATTTTTTTTTTTTTTTTTTTTTTTGCTTTGTTAATTTTAGGAATCGATGACGGAGCAGAGACACAGAAAGAGACAAAAGGACTGAAAGGAGGATTTTCTATGCTCATGCAAAGCAAGAAGCCAGTGGAAGAGGGAGAACGGCTCACTGATGACAGGCTAACAGAACGTCAGACCAGGTTTAGCTTCTATAGAGGGGAAAAAACACACACAAAGAAAACATAAAAATACTTTCCTCTACAGCAAATAAAGAAGTAGAGAAAGTAGGAAAAGTGGATAGCTTGTCCTCCAGCGGCTTAAGCCTCTAGCAGCATAACTGAAATAAAAATAAATAAATGGAACTAACTAATACAAATATAATATACAAAACAAAAATGCCACGTCAGGCATTCACTTGAATTAACCAGATATACTAAGGTTAAAGGTCAGGATTAACTTTTGGTGTTTTGTTTCTTTTTCTAAATGTCTGGGTGTCAGGTCCTGACTTGTTTTGGTGTTTGATTCTAGTGTCATTATCAATCTATGTTCCTTAGTCTCTTTGATTAGATCAGCCTTGTTTCTGTTTTACCTTAGTTGCTTTAGCTGTTATGTTCCTTATGTCTAGTTATTTGTTTTAGATTCATTTTCCTAGTTATCCAGTCTGTGGGGCAGCACAGTGGAGCAGTTGGTAGCTCTGTTGCCTGGCAGCAAGAAGGTCCTGGGTTCAATTCCCAGAGTTTGCATGTTCTCCCTGTGCATGGAGGGTTCTCTCCAGGTACTCCAGCTTCCTCCCACAGTCCAAAAACATGACTGTCAGATTAATTGGTCTCTGAAGTGTGTGTGCATGGTTGTTTGTCTGTGTTGCCCTGCAATGGACTGGCAACCTGTCCAGTATATATATATATATATATATAGAGAGAGAGAGAGGCCCCATGGGCCAAAACTTACAAACTCTCTTACAGAGTTTGATTGCAACAGAAGTTAACTTAAAATTTCAGTTTTACACATCAAGTTTCTCTCTGGCGGTTATAACAGGCCAAAAGCTTTGTGTTAATTTGCAAAATGACATTATGTAT